TGGTATTTTTTAATACCAGAAACCAAATATAATACTTCAAAAGAACTAAGTTTCGCACTACTATAAAGAACTCTTCTATAGCTGCTTAAAACCAAATCAGAAATTCAATCAAATTCTATGGAATGGTAAAAATTCATTTGGGTATTTACTTATCTAGTTACACTTTTATTAGAGTAGGTAGTTAAGAAGGCATGAAAAAACTACAGAAAAAAAGAGACCTAAAATTATTCTAGTCATATTACCACTTCTATTGAGTAAATAGGAATACACGGTAGTACTATCATAGATTAGAAGAATGAACACTAATTGGATAGGACTGGAAAAGCAGGCCCATGAGAGAGTTGGCTGGAGAGTGTTGGTCAGCGGCCTATGCTCCTCTGGTGGGTAAAAGGCGTAAGAAGTTGAAGAACTGGGGTAAGAAGACTGCTTGTTGTCTAATTTTAAAATTAATTACACAAGCGAAATATATAAATAGAGATTTTTAATATTTAAATTTTACCATCAGAAGCAGAGATCTTTGATATACACCTTTCGTACTTAATTACTTTTCGAGTTAGCGATCACTCGTAATCAGTTAACATTACTGATAAACAGAAATATTTATAAATAAATTCGAATTGGTAGGTTTATTCATTCATTCCCTGATAACTTAATGAAACTTTTAGTTGACCATAAACAAATTTTAGGGTGAAAATGATAAAATTTTCATCATATCACCAAGGGGATTATGAACTTGCCATTAAATTAAAAACAGAATATGAAAATATTTATGTCAGACATCAAGCAAATGATAGGCCTATACGATTGACCAAGATTTCGCTGCAATAGTGAAAAAATGTAGCCTAAATTTCAATGAAACAACTTATGTATGCAAAAGAGTGAACAGTAATTTTAATTCGTTTGATCAATTAAAATCTTCATTTTCAGGTTTGCATGAGTATAAGCAGATTTTGCTTTGGTATCGGAATCGGACATTAAATAACGTAACACAATACTTACTGGTTCCTAACAATTATCTAATTAATAACACACCGTGATACAAACTATGAAATTCACCTAACCTCCATAAATCCCTTACATTTCCGACCGTAGCTGCTACCTTGACGTGGTGGTCGGGCTTGATTATCGTAATGACCCAGCCGAGCCATACTGGCTGGAACATATATCCCAGAAGGTTCTACCATGCCAGGCAGGTCGATCATCCAACGATGAGACTAAAAGCAAATACTCAGGGTCTGAGGACGAAGTCGTACTACTGACTGTTGAGGTGTGTGACAGCAGTAAGGTGTTTCCCTCGGACAACCAGCATCTGCAGCGATGCTGCCTTCTCACAAGGAAGGAAGGGTTAGAAAAGGTCGACCCTAAAAATGTCACACCTCATGGATTTCCGTTTCCGGCGGTAAGGGTGCCCACTAAGGGCTTTTGAGAGCGGAGCTAATACTCAAAAAAGCTTTCATAAAAAGGCCTCAAGCAGTTGACCCTTGGGCTCTGCGGTCACGCACCCAGGTCTTTAAGACCAACACTAATCTATCTTCCTTTTCAGGTCCCTCAAGAAACAACCTTCCACGGTGTGGGCAGCCGGGAAGTGACAACCGCCCTCATACCCTGTACCCATAATCCCTCATATTAATAATATCAAAAGATTATTTTGAAATAATTCTTTCTTTACTGCTAGTTGGTTTCACTGATTACTTTTGAACTGAACATGTTATTAAATTTATTATTTAATTATATCGTGTACTATCATGTATGTTCATTTTGTGACAACGGATATAACTCATGTTTAGTTAGTATTTCCTATGACAAACGAACATTATGTATAAGCGATCAATGCACAAAGTAGTGTTCATATAAACGTAACCATAAAATAAATAATAAATAGATGTATATAATAACAATTGTCGAATTAAATTCAAGGATACCATAAAGTTTCATTCAACCCTTTGTGAATATTATATATTTGTGATTTTAGCTAGGAAGAAGTTGATAGAATTGGAAATAAATTATATCCTGAAACAAAGATCCATGTGTAACACTTTTATACGATGCGCAGTAGTAGCGATAAATAATTTACACCGAATTGACGATATCTTTGTTATAAGGTAACCTTTATTTACGATTTGTTTGATTCAAGATTTGTATTTTATTCAATTCAAGGTATGTTCTGCCCAGTGTTAAACCTTCCACAACAAATAAAAACATTCCGTTCGTTTGAATATCGTTTACAATATGTATATGGTATACAAGATCTTAGAAATTAACACGGGCGATCAACACAACGAATATAAAATACTTGTTGCATTACGCTATCATTATTTAAACCCTAGTTACCTTTAAGACAGTATATGATTGATTTTCAAACTACCAAGATCATAAATCTACTAAAATAGTTTTTCAGATTTAAAGCTGTACGCGAGTTATTCAGTTTCTACTATATCTGTAGTGTGCATTTAGATACTGATTCTCACCTGGAAAATTACTGAACAGTTACTTCATAAAACAAGTGGACGTGAATTCATCATATGAACTATAAAGACTGACTATAGTAAGTTACCTACCATACATTACTATTTCCAATAAATTGCTAACATCTAACTAATATGGTTAGGAGAGAATTTAAATTTTCGTTACAGTTTTGTGATTTACTTCGTTTCAACATAGACAAATGAAAAAGTAACAAACAGGAATGGACTTAATCCATATGAATGTATAAAATAATTTCAAAGCTAAACTATTATTCTTGAACTCATTGATATTAAGCTTTCGTCAGAAAATAATAAAGAAATCTTGATTGTTGCTGAGAAATTTCAGATATATTACAAGTATGTTGGTATTCCAGTGGCGCCGTAGATATAACTTATAATATTGATTTGATGTAATTATATCGCAGTTATTACCTATAAAATATAGAGGATTTCTCTTATATTTAAGACTCATTAAGTCAAAACACATTAATCGCAGTAAACAATGGTGCCGTACGGGATGAATGTTCTTGAATCTTTTGCTAGCAGATACATTCATACAAAGTGTTATAACGCGACTAAACACCCTGACGTTGCAATTATAACAGAAACTTCCATAGATGATTTACAACTGACGTACGTCAAGTAGCTTAACAAGTGAGGAGATAACATTTTAGCGTGAAATTGTGGGTACCGGGTCCGAGACCTAAATGAGACAAATATGAATTCAGTTTGCTGACTTCAAATTATGCATAACTTACTCCCAAGAATCCACAAGTGACCACTGCCAAAGAGCTGTACAGTTACTAGTCCCTCTTCTTTATTCAAGAAGCAAATACAAACTATTTGTGACTCTGCTTACACCATTCTTCTCTCTTCACACACAGTGTACAGCTAAAACTCAACAGGATAGAGTACCAAATGATGAATAAAGCTATCTCTCGCTCTCCTAAATTTTTCTGATAACACTTAGTAAAAAAAGTTATATTAGAAGTTAGCAAATCAAGAGCCTGTAGTAAATATAAAAATGACCTTAACTTAAATGGTCATAACTAGAGGCAAGTAGAATTAGATGGATTATTCACAGTACTTATTGCCGTTTTAGGTAATACTTAGTATTTACATGAAATTCGCAGCTATACTGAATTTTATACATAAAACGCCCTAAACATACAAAGATCTACAACACGGTTACTATTTATATAATGAACAATATTGATAAACTAAGTATACAACTTTAAGTTTATATTTATTTATTTTACGTCAATGTCTATACAGTGTGTACACCGAAAACAATGTTTGTGACGTGGTTTTGGTCTACGTTTAGATCCTCATAGAACTTTTATTTGAATTGTGAAGATAAGTAAATATGGTTGAAAATTGGACAAACCATTTATTGTCAGTCAAGCATTACAACAAATCGACAGTAGTGTCTCACAGCTAAGAGTGCTGATTTGAAATAGAACAAGTGTATCTCAATAAATTTTGAATGTTAATGATTTAAAAAATTACGAATCCATGCAAATCAAGATATCTCAAAAGCTGCTACATTCTTATTGACTCTAAAAGATTTAAAAGTATATAAAAGATTAACGAAGCCGATCAGTACTTAGGCATTAAACTACACATCGCTTAGTACCACGATGCATAATGTAGCTTGATTACTTCCATCTACTGCAATTCGATCGGTTGACATATTACAGGCACTCAAACATATTTATTCGTTTTAATTACACCCCTATCTATGTTATGAGCATAACGACAAAGTTAAATTAACTTCCTAGCATTATTTTATATATTCATAGTTTCACATAATTCCTTTACTCCCGTTTACAACTGTTCATACTTAGGTATTAACACGGACACAAGTTAGAAAAGCCTTAGTTACTGTTAATCAGGTATTTAATTACAATTATGCAGAATTTAATCTTAACTTCAAAAAGACAGTACTCAAAACACCGACTTATCGACTATATTCTAGAAGATTTAAAATAGATCTATCCAGTCAGTGATCGGTTAGCCATCCAGCTTCAAATTTGATTTCTGACTGATTAGAGCAGAAATTATTTGGTACCAGACGTTAAAGAAGCAAAAACTGTATCTATCACACTACTCTTTGATGAAAATTTGCTGCTAACATTAGGAGCATCACTCACAACAATGGTTCTTTCATTACAGATCAAAATTTTGATAGTTCTTTCTTGAGCGAAGTACACATATCAAATGATGGTATGCTAGAATAGGTAGTGGAATGAAATCAAACCGTTTGGGATGTTTAGACTTATAGAGTTGATTATAACAAAACGGGAAACTCTACTTCAATTAAGATGAACCGACATGGTGTCAGGAATAATCCGTTCAGATTTTCAAGAGACTTAAAATCAGGTGTTCGTATTTATTGAGAAGAGTACATGTTTCGACCATAAAATAGAATTGATTTATAAGACAAAAGCCTATATTCTAGGTTTTAAAAGAGTTTGACTAATTTTCTGTAGACTAACTGACGGGATAATATGCAGAACTACTAGAAAATGCTAAAAAATTTTACAACGAAATTATCAGTAGTCCTCAATTCGGTTGAGTGCTATGACAAACCCTCATTCCTAGCTCTTTTATAACTTTTAAAAAGTTTATCTTTAATAAGAATAATAAGATCAACTCATTCACTAATGGATGAACTTAGTAATTACAAAAAATGATTGTATTCGTACTCAAAAAACGTGGCAGAATTCAAATAGAAATAATTACAACAACATTCTTGCCATGTCATTGAAACTCAAAAACCCTAGATTGTTTGAACTTTTGTGACCCAAAAATCATGAAAAGATAAGAACAAACTTTTCAAAATATTTCATACATTTAAAATTAATAATAATGTTTAAATCAATATGACATTTTTTAAATGAAATAGGGCAGTGATATCCTAAACGGAATTTGAACATAAGATTGTCGATGAAAACTTTTTATGATCATATATTTGATCAAATTTGTGATCGTATTGTGAAAAGATAATTTATGAAAAGCCAAAAAAATAAAGTCATATCCGGATACAAGTCTCTAAAAGCAATCAAAAGCAGTTTTGGAAAAGAGTAATGTAAAATTAAACCAAATAGAAAACTTGTCAATATTAGGAATTATGAAATGTATGCATTTATTTAAAACCATTATTTCAACCCTGAATACACATTTACAGATACAGTTAGGATAAAAGATAAACATTGGAAAAGAATTTTAGTAACAGTGGTGAAAGTAATTAAATGAATACGATTGTTTGTACCAAACATATGTAAGTAGCAAACATTGATCGCTTTTGTTGACGAATACCACTAAACAAGAAAATGAAAACACGATAATGTTAATCACATCAAAGACTATATATAGATTAAGCAAAGTTCATAAAGTAAAATGAGCACTCCCAATAATACACATTAATTAATTTACATTTCAAACAATGTACTTTACCCTTTTATGATAACATAAAAACAGACTGGATACTAGCTGCAGTTACCTATTGCCTAATGTCAATGACTGTGAACAGACAAAACCGACCATTTCAGAAAGAAGCCAAAATTCATAACTAGCAGGTGAGAAGTCTTTTTATTTTGAGGTTCAAATTTATCCATTAATTCTTCTCTAAGCAATTTGTTGATGCATCATGTCAAAATGAACCTTTTGAGAAAGATCTGAGTACATTTATTGCTGTGTAAAGATGGAGCGAAGACAATGATCTTTTGTTAGACAGACAGACACAACGCAGAACTTCGTACGTAAGTACATCAGTTCAGGTTGCCATACCATATCAGCACAGAGACACAACTGTCAGTTCAAATCCAAGAGTGATAGCGATAGTAGAATAATTAGCAGTAATGCAGATTAGGGAGCGAAGATATGATTCGAAAAGTATAATTTAGTGAGATAAATTTAGAAGGAGAAAGATAGAGAATAGGAGGGATGCAGGTTAGAATTGAAGAGAAAACAAAGAGGTCTCTAACCATTGGTGACTATCGTCTCGTGAACCCCAACCACGTAGCCTACATCTACCAACATGACTCAGACCACTTGTCATGGATTTGTGCCATGTTTTGGTTTGGTCACCTCTAGCTTCCTTCCAATCTACTCCTACACTGCAAAAGATAGCTCGTCGCGGCAGTCGGTGGTTAGCCATACGCAACACATGTCCCGACCACCTCAACTGATGAAGTTTCACTACTTCATCTATTGATCTGCCATCCTTATCTAGTACTCGTTTCCTAACGACAACATTGCTTACTCGGTTGTCCCACGATACACGAGCAATGCTTCGAAGACATCTATGATCGAATACAAGTAACCTACGAACATCCTCTACTCTTAACAGCCATGTTTCACAGGCATATAGGAGAACGGAGCTAACTGCTGCGCAGTACACCCGTCCTTTGGTTAGCGAACGGATATCACGCCTACGCCAAAAGTGACCCAGGTTGGCAAAAGCCAATCGAGCTTTCTGTATCCGTGCTGAGATTTCGTCAGTCACCAGGCTATCAGCGTTGATGAGACTCCCCAGATAAGTGAAGTGTTCAACACGCTCGACTACTTCATTCCCTATCACTAGTTCAGGTACCGATGCGACCATATTCTTTTTCAAAAAATGGTCATCATTCATTAATAATGACTGCCTATCTGATGCAATTATCTCAATACATCTCAAACAACTCAATCTATTTATACGTCACAGAAACGCTTCGGGAATTGAACACGTGGTAACAACGTTGTGAACTTATCAGGAAGGTAAGGAAAAAAGAATTGTCTTCTGACAAGTCTATTACATGACGTGACAGCATAGTTCATTTTTACTTCATATATTAAATTACTACATTTAATATTAAGGTTATCTAAAGTAATTTGTGGATTTTCGGTGTATACATTTTGAAATAAACAAATCATCAAAATGACAATATTACCTAATTATTATTTATGACATGACCGGAAGCTCCGAATGAATGTAGAAAACAATTAGTACGACAATATCCAAAAGAAGACAATCAATTTTATTACAGCGAGGTGAGAAATATTTGACTTGTAGGATAAACTGTGAAGTTACTTAACAAAATATATGTAAACAGGGTCTTGCTCTTAGTAATCATTAGCCACCACTACTGAGTTTGTTGTTTCACAATGAAACCCATTGACTTCAGAATGTCCGTTTACCAACTCCAGGTTTGCCAGCTTAGAGTGGATAACGTTATCATCAACATATATATTGGTATTGTTGCAATCCACACCATTAACCTACACAATCCAAGACAGAAATAAAGTAGACATATAGCATTAAACATGATAGCTTTATTCAAAGCAACATTCGTATAAAGTATGAAAATTTTGGAACTAAATACGATAACAAATGACAGTAATGTGAGCAAACAAAATCATTGATACTTTTGTAAAAAAAAAGAAAATACAGGAAAAATTAACAAACTGTAGCTTGCAACGAATTTCAAATTAAACCGAACTTAGTACATAAATTTATTTTGTTTCCATTAAACCCATGCTTGTATTAGAGACTGGTCCCGACTGTAGCTGCTACCTTGATGTCGTTGCAATGAACTTTATGGCACATAGTTTGCAATTACTTACATTATCTTAAAATATAACAAACCTTTTCTGAATTCAAAATGTTGTCGGAAAAAGTTAATGTGAATTATTTAAAACATCTGAAATACAACTAGATTTGCGATAAACCTGGGAGGAAAGAAACACACATATGGATGAGTTAAGTCATTCACTAAAAGATTAAATGAAGCTCACTAAACAACGATTTTTAAATCATCCTACAGCCACTGATGGAGGGTTTTGATAGAGGACTGTTGCTCGTTCTGGGGCAAGTGTTGAAACTCAGATCATGCTGTAATGCTAGCGCATATTTGTTTGCGTCTTACGCGACGTAGGGAAGACTCCACAAGGAAACCTCTTAGGATTCTAATTAATGATAGCTTAGCTAGGAATATATTTTAAGTAGTAACTAGAAAAACAGTTAGGCAGCTATATAAGTGATTTCAGTCCGGAGGCAGCTTGGAATTATATCCAAAAAGCTAAGGAAACAGCAACATCTGCTAGCGAAGTAAACCAAAAGGTTAGGGAGAAGCCATGGATCTCAGTAGCATCCACCAAACTGATAGATGCTCGGAAACATCCCACATGGCTCTGAACCTGACGAAGAGCGAAATCAGCTTAAGAGCAAGATTATAAGCCTACGCAATGATCGCGAACACTGGCAGGAAGCGAAAGCTAGAGTGATAGAAAAGGTAGTGCTGATGGGTAACAGTAGATAACTGTTCACACTTATCAAGAAAACAGGAGAGCTTCAGGGACTGACCGGCTTACCCTTGAGAATTATGAGGATGATGGTCCAGTTTTATGCAGAAATCTGGGAACTGTGCGTAATCCAATATGAGTGGTCTCAATCACTGATCGTCCCAATTTACAAGAAAGAACAAAAGTCTTCTTGTGACAATCACAGACGAATCAGTCTTACTAATATAGAGTCTCGATAGTCTCGATAATACTCGGACGCCTAACTAGAGCTCGTGGAGAGTAGACTCGAGATAATCGGGCTGGTTTCCGACATGGACGTGGATGTATAGACCACATTTTCACACTGCGACAGGTCTTGGAACACAGAAACACATATAGGCGTCCTACAATAGTTGTATTCCTGGACCTTAAGGCGGTATTTGACTCAGTGGATCGTAAGGTTCTCTGGCAGTGCCCGTCATTAAAAGGTGTACCGAAGAAGTACATTAACCTTATACAAGCTCTCTACTCGAACACTACAGGTCGAGTGAGAGCTTATGGCGAACTATCATCGGAATTAGTTGCTTCAAGTGGTGTCCGTCAAGGATGTCCACTTCCCTCATTTTTGTGTAATTTTGTCATAGACATGTTGCTAGATATGACCTTATCCTCGTCTGAATTTTCAGGAGTAGACCTACCAGGAGGCTCGCTTATTGACTTAGAATATGCCGATGACATAGTCCTACTTGGTGAAGACGCTGGCAAAATGCAGAATCTTCTGACCACCGTAAGCAACAATGCAAGAATGTTCGGGATGCGGTTCTCACCCTCGAAATGCAAAATGTTGCTTCAGGATTGAGTTGCGTGGGCACCTGAACTAGTGACAGGGAGTGAAGTAGTCGAACGTGTAGACCGCTTCACGTATCTGGGGAGTCTGATTGTCTGGTGACTGACTAAATCTCAGCTCGGATACAGAAGGCTTTTGCCAACTTGCATCATCTATGGCTCAGGCGAGATATCCGTTTGCTGAATAAAGGACAAGTGTACTGCGCAGCAGGTCGCTCCGTCCTACTTTATGGCTTGAGGATATTCGTAGGTTATTAGTATTCGATTACAGGTGTCTTCGAAGCATTGCTCGTGTATCGTGGGACAACCGAGTAAGCAATGTTGTCGTTAGGTAACGAGTACTAGGTTGGGATGTCAAACCAATAGATGAAGTATTGAAACTTGATCAGTTGAGGTGATTGGGACATGCATCTAGCCACCGGACTGCCTCGTCAAGGTGTTTTGCGACGTAGGAATAGGTTGGATAAAGCTAGGGACGGCCAAACCAAAACATGGCACAAACCCATGAAGTCACTGACAAGTGGACTGAGCAGTGTCGGCAGGTGTCGACTACCTGGCTGGGGTCCGCGAGATGATAATAATCGATGGTTAGAGACCCTAAGTGACATTGCTCAAAACCGTTTGCAATGGCGCAGGTGAATTTATTATTTATTATTATTATTATTATTTATTATTTATTATTATGAAATTCTAACCTTCTGACTTTCTCACCACCTCTCTCTTTCTCTTCCTAAACTGATCTCACTAAGTTATACTTCCTGAATATCTTAGAATCCCGTCTTCTCCGTTACCGCTAATAATTTTACTATCTCTACTACTATGGAATCTGAACTGACAGTCGCGTTTCTGTGCTAATATGGGACGGTAACCTGAACCCATGTACGTACGGAGTTCTACGTTGTAAATGACTGACTGATTGATTAGAGACTGGTGAACAAGGCAATTTCTTTTTAGTAAAGGTTCAAGTTGCTTGGAAAGTTATCCTATGTTACACAGTCTATGTAAAACTGGAAAAATAATCAGTGTGACAGAATTTTTCGTTACAGCACATCTACTGGAATGTGTTACGGTTTCAGAACTAGTTGAAGAGAATTCCAAAGAACATCGTAATCAATGTCATCAGATAGGTCAGAAGATGTAGTCCAATGAAATACTTGAGCTGTAATCATGAAGGACCAGAAGTTTTGTAGTTTGGTATACATAGTTTTGATCTCTAACATAAAAACTCACAAAAACAAGGAATACGAAAGAAATTAAGAAAGATTTACCTCTTCATATGTGTGGACACCATTTACCAGAACATCTTCAGATTTCTCAGTACATTCATCTACGGATTCGCCATTAACATAAGATTCATTGACACAAGAATTGACATGTACAGTTTCCACCTCAGAGAGTGATTCCTAAAATTAGATTTACAAACAATATAAACTGCATAAATTGATTTTGTTACAAGTTATTTCCAACTGGACTGGAGCAATCAACTCATAAAGAAAACGCTAACTACAATAACAATAACTAGTTTTTAGTTTGGATTTTTAAATAGAAATACATCAACTTTAGGAAGTCTAATGATATTATGATAATGGAATAAACTCATATCACTTAGAATTTTATTTTATATACACTGTGCATCCGAGGTTGTCAATAAGTGTGAAACAGGAAACTTCAGTGTTAACGCTAGACGAAAGGTATAAGTTAATGCGTGAAAACGATCACTGACTACAAGCGAAAGAATCCAAAGTTTAGGAATGGGCAACAGGTTTGTGAAAAATACCTTCACTTCAAAATAGCACACTATGAACAATGCAATTTTTTCAGATTATTTACCAAATAATACACATGGTATTTCAGTGTTAGGCTCACATATACGTAAAATCATGCAATATTATTTAATCAAATCAACCATATCCTAAATAGCATGTTTATTAGTTTATAGCCCATTTAATCGACGTGCATGTGGCGGTTGAGTTGTATCTATTTTGTTTTATGATGAACAGAGCAACAAGTGTACTTACTTGAGTGTTGTTCTTAGTTTCAATATCATTAGGACTCTCTTCATACGGTTTCACTTCACACACTTGAATTTCTTCTAAACGAGTTTGAGTGGCAGAGATGATAACATCTTGAACCAGATTGTCTGCAACTAGTACAACAGGATTGTTGGAAGTAACATCGACATTACTATTTGCTGTGCATTCAGGTTGTGTTTCAGTTGTGTCAGTTGTGTTAACTTCTTTTTTTTCGTCATTACTAGTATCCTCAGGTTTTTCATCAGACTTGTCTGTGGAGTGTTTTTTAAGGTTAGAACCTTTCCTGGATATACGTCGTAAAATTCGTGCTATTGGGTTTCCTTTCTTGGATCGTTTTGCGTCACCGTTTTGTGGGATGTCTGAAGTTGTTACATCGCCGTTTGCTTGCTCATGGTTTTCTTCCCCTGTAGAATATTTATCTTTGTGACCATTTTCGAGCTTATCATCTGAGAGCTAAAAATAAAACAATTCAATTATGCAAACCGAATTAAATTTTTGCATTAATACAAAACTTGCTGTTTGATGTAACTGTTGGGTAGTAAAACGATGAGTATGTTAAAACAGATTGGTGACTAAGAGCAGATAACAACGGTGACACTGAAATATGGGATACGACTTACCAGAACATTTCAATCAATAAAATACCTTCGTTAAGTCATTCGATGATCAGAATTAGTTCTGCTTGTTAGACAAATTTAATTACTAGACGTAAAATTAGGTATCATTTATTATCTGAAGTAATAGGGGCTAAGCAAGCACACTAAGCAAAGAAAATTGCAGACAAACTGTCTAAAATAACACTATTGACGACTAGTTTTACATTTAATCCCCGTAAAGCAGAAAACACTGACAAGCCTACCTCCGCGACCTCATCTATACAAGGAACATCCACACCAGTTGTAACAACTCCATTTAAAAGCTAATTGGTCAATAAATGAGAAAACACGAAATAAAATTACCAGGATATGCTAGCAAATCGATAAAGCAACGGTAGAGGGAAGATTATGCATGAATAAAAGTTATTTGTAATGATAGATTGCATATACTTACTTGCACTGGCTGTTCACAATCCAACGTTTTGGCTTGTTCATTAGCATCCTAAAATTACAACAGAAACATGAACAAAAAATCAAAGGGTGATCAAGTTATGTTCAGTCGAAAGAAATTTCTAACAGCATGACGTCACTTATTCCCAAACAAACATCCAGGTAGTTGATGGTTCAAAATTTTTTTAATTGAGAGGTCAGTCAGTAATTCTTCAAACAACTAAGCGCAAGTTATTCATCAAACACAGATTCCCATAAAAACTTCCAAGCCACATTTTTCGTGTGAGCTACACATTACACAAATAAAAAGTCAAATCTTCAGCCTGATAGTTCAAAATTAATCGCATCATATCAACCGTTCACTGATATTAAGATAAAAAGTATTATACAGTCTTTGTTGTTTTATAAACGGACCTTTCATATCTCTACTAGGTTCGATTTTAGCTACTTGTGATATTTATTTGTCAAGAAAGCAAAACTAACAAAGCAAAAACTGACAAACAGTATCAATGAAAGCTACATATGCTGGTTATAATATACAGACGGGAACAACAACGTAGGTAGAAAAGAGGTAACAATGGAATTAGTAAATTAGCTGTTTACTTTTACAGCAATGAAATTTATTTGGAACACACTAATGATTGATTAGTAAATGAGAAGCTTGTGAGTTGTTTGAAATGGTACTGCAAGGCTGCTAAGCTGCCAAGAAAATAGGGAGGTGACAGACTCAGTCACTAAGGAAACAGGTCAAATAATTTTGTCTTTTGTCATGCTAATAATGCTCGTATACAGGCTCTGGAATTTAGCCGACCGATCTGAATTGCTGAGTATTTACTGTGTATAAAACATCGTTAGCAGACAAGCGGGATTTAGAAACGGAAAGGCATTAAATTGGGTACGTATTCTCTAATGTATGTTGGAATTTGTATTGATCGTGAAAGCCAGGACAATTTATCAGCCAAGATAGAATAAGACATATATATTTGAAATACAGAAAACTGGGTGTAACAAGACAAATGCCCCGAAAAACTGGGAGCTGGTTTTGTGAAAAATTAAGTGTATGGAAGAGGAACGAGTAACAACAGCAATATTGGTTACCAGTTGCAGACTCATTTTGTCACAATTTATCAGGTATACGAGTATTACACTATTATAATTTGTTTTTACCGTAACGTACGCCAAAATCATAAACTCTTGAGTTGCATAGAATAAGGAAATAGTCCTAAGACATGTCGGAAAAGTATACTGTTTAGATTATATAGCAGTTTAAGCCCTAAATGTAATGGTAAACGACTTCAGTATTTGGCCATGCTTATAATGAAACTAAAATCAAACATCAGGCATCAAATATTTCCACGTCAAGAAGCACAATACTGAGGTTTAGATTGCGAAGGAAATTTTTGGTTACCATTAAACACAGCTCAACACCACTATTTATTACGTTAAAATTATAGTAAAAGAAACTATCCAGCAAATGACCATCCAGAAGAAAAATAATCCAAGACAGTACAAGCTAGTGTTAGTTTGTATGAACCCTAAGAATCACATCTGGATTTGGCATACCGATAAAATTGAGTCATAAAGCTTTGATAAAACAATGCCAACGATAGTAAGGAATATGAAACAAGACAGAATAAATTACTACGGTATATACTTGGTTGCAGATAAGTGGTTTCAGAGTGGTAGCAAAGTTAAGCACTGATCCACATAAACAGCTTATTTTAGGGAGATAGAGAAGAGATTACTCAACACTCGTTTCATTGACTTAGACTCACTAAGGATCAGTCACGTAGGCGTTGAAAAACGTACAATAGGATTTCTTACAACATTATTAGCGAACGTTGAATTCTGATGTTGAATCAAACTTCAGATATCCACTTTCCTTGTATGCAGTACTACCATAGTTATTAATAATACTACCTTAGATGTTAGTTAGTGGAGGACTTAAAACTCCACATAGCATTAACACAGAAAGTCGAAAAGGGAAACGAAGGCATAAAAACTGGTAGGTGTGAAAAAGTGAATGCCATTTGGAGACAAACAAGATTAGGAAGGAAGCTTATGGATCTGCATTGCAATAACAGGTTTGGGGAGCTAACCAGTAAATTTTGCTGTATCCACTTTTCCAACAGGATATGGACAAAGTAAAATGAGCTTCAAATTAAGCTGATTCAGTGTTTTCGCCAATTTTATCACAATCGTCTGGCAAACAGCATCATTAGGCACATAATTCAGTAACGTCGTCTCCTAGCAATTGAAAATAAAACCTAACTAAAACGTCGTTTCACTAAAAACATTAATCATCTGAAATATCGAAGCACAACCTCGTCGTATGGTTAATTTGTTCGCTCCACAGAAGCTGAATTTAATTTTCTCCACAAATGGTCATAATTTTCGTAGGATAAGTGCTAACCTGGATTGATACAATACAAAAAAAGAGTCTAGCTCTGGGAACTAAAATGTTGAGAATAAACTAACTAATAAATGATTTGTTTAGCTGACTGAGTAAAGACCAAGTGCTAAATTGTAACGACATAACGGTTTATTCTTCGAGATAAAATCGTAATAATAACATAATTTGACTGAGTCGTATTTAGCACTATTTTAAGGTAATAAGGCACCACGAAATTTTTAAAATCAGTAACACAAAGCTGATAAAGTAGTACCCAAATATGCCACATGGTGGTTAGTTTCACGAAGGTGAGTTTACTTTTTGCCATAGAAACGTAACAAAAAACTCTTACTTACAGGTTTGCAAGGACTATCTCCAGTTTTTTCTACCGTATGAGGAACCACGAATTTGCCTGATCGTCCACCCATAGTCCACGGAAAAAGTTGTCAGTATGAACTTCCAAATAAGCAAATATTTGCCGTGCTAGTCTATTTTACAGTATGACAATCACACGGCCCAATAACCTTTATCCGACATCACAATCACTAGCCTGAAATGACTCAGAGGCTTAATTTTAATCTGATTGGCTTAATACCAAGGCCTTAATTGCTAACTATGCATTTAGTTAGTCTAAAGTAGGGGTGGCGAGTCTAAACCAATAAGAAAGAAATGATTATTCATGGTGGTCTGAATGCAATGACTGGTTTTTAATTGTCCAATAGAAATGAAGGATATTTGAGGGATAGTCTTAGTAACATTGCTTTGTTTCATTCGTATCATTGCTAAGAAACCTGGTCTGAAACACGATGGGGGTAACAGTATGACTGTAGTTGGACTTGAGGATGGCATGTCCCATCCTGAATTATCTGACCTGTTGGCTATAGGGTTTGTATAGAAATCCCATTTCTTCCACGGGCTACGTGTTATGTTGTTTTATTATGTACAGCATATGAATACGTGTCGTAAAAAGTTGTACATGTCAGCATTGCATTTCTTAATGTACGCTCCGTGCTCATAATTGCCAAAATCATTTGAATGTTTGTTTTGTGGAACATACTGACCTTATGTGATACTCTGCAATTAACGTGTTGCCACACTATTTAGCTCTAGTTTTGACAGGCTTCTCATTACAAAATTTGATACTGTAGTTCTAATTTTTAAAAACGTGCTGAATGAGTGTCAATTTACGTTTAACATATATTTACCTCAATAAGAATATAAATCTATACACCGAGTGACTCAAGCAATCTTCGTTTTGACTCATGTCACATGAGAATTCTGGTGAATCTGAACTTCACTCCTTTCAATAGTATCTTTAATGTCGGTTCGTGGAGTTTCAACGCGTTTTTCAAGTCAGATTACAATTGTAACATATATCTATGATTGTGTGTTGAATTTCTGAGGAACCAGACAAACTTGTGTAGTATTTATTCTGCTTGGCTGTGGGTGCTTTTAGTTTGTGATGTAAATTAACTACCTAAAGCACCAAGAAAGTTGTAAACAAAAATCAAATTACTTTCAGTGAGTGACAAAATCAGTTTGTGTATGCAAGTAGAATGAAGTTATGGAACCCCTTACAGTAAAAATGCTCGTGAAATCTGGGACCCGATTCAACTTCAGTCGAGCAACTTGAGAATATTTCCAAAGATAATGATCCGTAACGTTCGAACCAGACTTGATGAATACTCAACAGAAAATATAATGACAGTTACTGTGTGCTCACTAGTGAAGAGTGATAACTGCTCATTAAGCCGTATTTTATTAATTGCGCGCACAAGCATTTTGAAGACATGTATCGACAGAAATTATTTGACCGTAGACTATAGTAGCAGCACTTCATATAATTGACTCGGACAAACACGATATGTTCTTTTGAGAGAAGTTGAAGTAGTGTAAATCTGTGCGAATTCGTCACTTGAATCTGATTTTCAAACAAACGATCTGTCAAACTGTATTTGCACTACACAATTATCATTGGAAAGCATTTATGATGGCCACGTGAGTGATAGCACCTACTGTCAGCACAGAACATGATCATGAACTTGAAAGTGACTATTAAGATGTGTTGCAACAAAACCAAGTGTTTTATGTGAATGACACTCACCTAATGTCTGTTTCAATCCTTGCGAACAGTAAATACGATTTCGGCAAAAGGCCAAGTTTTACATTAACTGTGTAATAATGATGCATTCCAGACCGAAGCTGCTACCTTGACGTGGTGGTCGGGTTTGCCTATCGTCATGACCCAATCGAGCTATATTGGCTGGACCGTATGTTCTTGAAGGTCCTACCATGCCACGCAGGTCGATTAAAGAAAGATGGGACTAAAAGCAGTTACTCAAGGTCTGAGGGCGAAGTCGCACTGCTGACTGCAGAGGAGTGTGACATCAGTAAGGTGTTCTCCTCAAACAACCAGCATCTGCAGCGATGCTACCTTCTCACAAGGAAGGAAGGGTTAGAAAATGTCGACCCTAAAAATGTCACACATCACCCTACCTCACGGATTTCCGTCTCCTTGGGTAAGGGTGCCCACCAAGGGCTTTTGAGAGCGGAGCCAATACTCAAAAATCCTTTAATAAAAAGGCCGTGTGTGAGCGGCCTCAAGCAGTTGTCTCTTGGTCTCTGCGGTCACGCTCTAAGTCCGACACTAATCTACCTTCTTTTTCAGGTTCCACCAATAATAATGATTCATGAAACTACCAATGTATCGGAACTTATTTCATATTTATCCTCCCTGCACTCATCTGAATCTAAGCTGTACTGTCACTCTAAGTTTTCCCTTTATTTCCGTTTGTACATAACTACGTATATTACTCCATTTCTAGTCACATTGAATTCTTGACGAAGAGAGCATATGTTACAGTATATCTGTAACGAGCACACTTCAAGATCTTTAACATTTAATCTATTTACTCACGGTTGTTTTACGGTTAAAACATAATATAGGGACGACCCAATTAATGAATATTTCAGTAGAAGTGATAAGGCCCGTTAGAGGTTTCAGGACATCTGTTGCTTTCTCAAGGTTTATTAATCAATCTGACGTTCTGAATACTGTCGAAATATTACTGCATATACATTTTAAAGGTTTATTTCTGAATTGTTTTTGTGGTCGTCAATAGCTAGATAACAAATTCATCATCGCCTACAAAACCTTTATTGATAAATTCTCTGAAGAATTAGGGAGACTGTATTAATAAAATTAGTTGTTCTCATATCGATATGGGGAAACTGTTTGGATAGGTAATTATATATTTTGGCATCCTTACCTTAGTTAAACATGAATAAAGTAGTTTTTATGAGTTCCCTATGAACACAATATACTGAAACAAAAGCTTATTTACCTGTTATGTGCAACCAACATAACAATAAGTGGGAATTTGTAAATATACAAAAATTATGTAGAAAAAGTTTACAAACAGTGAGTAGCTTGCGTTCATATTTATTGATATATGTTTTCTATCGGATTCGCTTCTATGTAAAAAATTTTGTTTACCCAACATATTTGATGTAAGAAATCCATAATAATCACCTCTTGTTTCTCCAGACAACGTAAGACGTGAGAAATATACAAATAATCGTGGTGTCAGTTCATGGGTTTTTTGATAATTGGATTCATATTGGATACCTCTGTTCTTTCCTTGGCCGCATACAACTTACTAAACTACTATGATACTTCTTTTTTTTCACGTCCTGTATTTGCTTTCCCTTTTTCGTCTCTTTCATCCACCATCTAATTATTTTACACTTGTCTTATTACGTAATTCTAATAGAGCTTTGTGATTATTATTTCAAGCCTATTTGTCTTAGTTTGACCTGCTATTTCCAAAGTTGAACTATTGACAAAAAATTCAACTCACTTATTGAATATTCAGTGATGACAGTTAATTTTTATTGTAATCGGATAAATAACTAAGATAGTTGAGCTAATATTATCAAACAAATCACGTTCAAACAACATCATCATTAAAATAATCAATTGAAAATTAGCTAAATTAAGCTGAGTTGGTGAGATATTTTCTGTTAATTTATCATTTGTCTGTATTATCAACAAGTATTTAGTACTCGATAATTTTTAAAAAAAAACTAAATATCTAAAATGAGCACGCAATCACTTAGGTTAGTTCAAAAAAGAATTTTGTCTAATCAAGTTCATTGAAATAAAGATAACTAAAGTTTGATTCATAAAGGAAGGATTTCAAGTATATGTCATCCAGCATGTACAAAGTATTTATTCTATTAATAGTATAAACTGTTCGAACCGTTTTTGTGTTAATTGGAATAAACTTTTGTTTGGTGAATTCGCATAAAAGAATGGGCTTCTTCAAACTGTCACATGTGTCATATTGACAACGATCGATAAGCATAAATTTTCGCAAACAATTCAACACGAATCAATATCTCTAAAATTATTCGTATAGTTACAGACACTATCCTTTCAAATAATCAATGTGTTTAGCATGTAATTTACCAATAAATTTTAATTAAAGAAAAATAGTTGTCTAAGACTACTTCACTCTATGTTGTTATAAAACTACTAAAAGTTACACGTACTAAATAGATGATTAGTTCAGCGATTTGAATACTTGAAAGTACACATTAGTGTGATTAAGAATAAATTCAGAACTTACTTGTTTCATAGCAATCTACTGAGTCGGTATCCAATGTTCCATATCTTTTTAGCATAATTCAATGATTGAGTAAAGCATAACCATCATTCAATCTCATTTGCCGTAATACAGTAAACTAGTTGTTATCCAGTGCATCCTGTTTTGAATTAATTTTTCCGACTGATGTAAACTATGATGAAAATTATGTTGGAAGCAAACAAAACTTCATAAACTTTGAATTAAATGGTATTTATTTACTAATAAATTTATTTACTAACTGGTACATTATTTCATGCAACTGTCAAAGTGATTGATTATTAGTGATATAAACGTTGTAAATAAATATGCTTGACTAGTGTTAATGTTTGATGATAGAGTTTAATAAGTGTTTAATATATATAGAGTAAATTAATTTACATGTCAAACCTTTACTAATAACCTTTTAACAAATTATTTAAATTTTTAAATGGCATTCAACTGAAAACGTACAAAATAAAACATTTATAACACATTATAAAATCGTAGTATAAGGTAATGAAACAGTTTATGACCAGAGATTAGAAATAAAAAATATAATTTTATTCTTTTATTTTGTTGGTCACTACTGTTTCTTACATTTACTGGTATAGAAGTTCGATACCTCGTCTGTTAGCATGGTACCACTTGTAGTAAAACTGCTCAATTCAACGTGAAATGGTTTTGTATTTTATTTGCATAGATTTACATTAGATTTAGTTCCTTTACAAATTTGTCGACCAAATTGTTTCAAATACTATCTACGTAAAGTTGTAAAATTTCTCAACAAGGAAAGAAGCTTCTTAAACACTACACGTACATTTCGCTAGTGAATTCTAGCAGGTACGACAGTTAGTAAGCTCAACGTCATGGTATACAACTTGAAAGTTAAATATTTTAAACAGTATACGTCTATGAAAATAGCTACTAATATAGAACCTGTTTATAGGAAAATATATTTCAAACATTGAAAAGAGACTTATTCGA